AAGGGATACCTTTCCTTCACGCCTGACAGGAGTCGCCTCCAGAGACTGAGGGCTTCTGCCCCTTTTGGAATCACTTTGTCAATGCCCCCTTCCCTAGAAAGGGGTCCCAGCTGCTTGGCTTCCCTACCCTCTAATTCCAGGCTACTGGCCCCGTTATCCCAGCATCGGAGCAGCCAGGTGACAATGTGCCCACCTGGATGACAACTGAAATCTTTTTGCATATCTCACAGCTCACTCAGGGATAGGGATCGGGTGGTTACCATCTCATTTTAGAGAAGTCCCACTTACCAATGAATGCAGTGACTTTTGGATTGATGATCCCACTTGGCAGAAGATGAAAGTCATACTCCACAGAATCGACAACAACTGTATGCCCTGCATTATTGCCTCCCTGAGGGGGGAAAGGAAAAAAAAAAAGCGTTAATAGTTTTGATACTAAAGACAAATGATCACACAGTATAGAGATGGAATAAACTGATTCCAGCTCCAATTCTGCAGCTTTCATTTCTGTTACTGACAAAAGATCTTTCAGAGATGATCTTCTTCCAGGAAATCAGCCAAACTTGTTTTGTCAAACTCTACAATTTCAACATCAGTATTGTCATATACACTTTGGACAGTATTTTGGTTCATCAAAGGTACAAGAGCTTGGAATAAGATTAAAATGTTTCTAAAAATTGTTGGACAGGAGCATAAATATTCTAGAACACGCAAACAATTCTAAAAGCCATCATCAGTTTTACTAAGTTCCTATTACAGTTATGGAGAGTAAGTATTAAAAAGTGGAACTGCAATCTTAGCAAAGAAAAAAAAAATCACCAGTTAAACTGAGTATATAAAACCATATAGTTATTGGGAAAGATAAGTCTAGCTGTTTGGCAACGTGCAGGCTCGTTGTTCTGAATTTTGGGTCCACTCTTTTTAGTGTTTTTCTATGAATAGTAACCAAAGTTAACTTGTTCATTCTATACCTCCTCAGCAAAAAGAGAGGTCTGTGATAGTACAAGTCATTTATATCTGAAACATGCTGTTAAGGAGTGAATCTAGAGGCAACCAAGAGATTGTGGTTTCATAAGTTACAGGAAACCATTTACATCAAACTAACACTCAACATTTGTAGCTTTTTTCATTACCACAAAGAGAGTATTAAGAGATTTATTAAACTGTGAAATATGTCTAAAATACAAAAAGAAGCCTGCGACCAAGTCTTAAAGAGGGTCAAGATAGGCTTATGAAACTAAAAAGATTACAAAATAGTTACCAAACATCCCCAGTTCTTGTTCATTGTACTTTTGAAAATAAGCTTACGCTCTCTTGTGACTGAGTCATTTGTGCAAGACAAGGTTACATACAAAATGGTTCTGTTTGTCATAACTACAGGAACATCCTTTACAGGCAACTTGCACCGGAAATAAGCAAACTGCTCCATAGAAGGAAAGCCTTAAAGGAAAGACTTTTAATCTAAGCCTTCTTTCAGCACAAGACAAACTGAAGAAAGGCATTATATGAAAAGAAGAAGAAAAAAGAAACTATATGAAATATTAATCTATGGAATTCTACATCTGAAATATTTCAGAATAATATATCACAGAAGATCTTTTCTAAGCAATGGACTCAACAGCTACTCACTACTACAACATTTACAAAGCATGAATGCAATACATAAAGCCACGTATCTGACATTACAAATAAAGAATATTCTTAGATATCAAACATTTGTGCCAGTATATGAACACACCTGCCACAGGTAAAAGCCTAATCTCAGTGAAGTTAGCAATGAAAATTCTCATAATTTCAGCATTATTTATTTGAAGATTTACAGCCGTTCCACCTCCTTTGGAAACAGAGGGAAGACTTACAAACCTTCATCCAACAAAGGAAATGTCTGAATTTAAGAAAACTTTGGAAACAGAGGGAAGACTTACAAACCTTCATCCAACAAAGGAAATGTCTGAATTTAAGAAAAAATTAAATGATTTAGTAATATAATGTAGAGTTTTTCCATGTAGTGAACAGTACCTTGAAGAAGTTGTAAATATTTCTGGATGCAGATGGTTTTCACTGCAACTGATCTGACTTAATCAGAGAATGTCAAATTTTCAATTCACAGTACATGTGAAACATATTGAATGCATAAATAAAAGAATAAACTTGAAAGCCTTGCTTTAAGAAAATAATAAATGTTCAGGAATAACCTTCCTCCTCCTCCTCCCATCCCTTCTATTCAACAGTAGCTGTTAAGAAAGATTATTTAGCAGACTACCAACTCTACAGTTGTATCTTTGATTTAAAAGCATTTTAACTAGCGACATTAGCTGGTAGATGATTTACAACTATTTTTGAAATGCAATGATGATACTCCTGAGCTACTGCAAGTTACTCCAAAAGTAGGTAATATTCTACGAACTATTAAGTTCTACGAACTATACATAAAATATACAAGCTTTTTTTAGTAAGAAAAGACATAGGTTTTGCTTAGGTTCTCAAATACTGAGTAGAAAACCATTCTTAGGGAAGAAAGAACAGTTGTGTACTAAAGTAGCATTTACAGTCAAGTACATCTGCTGAAAGTGGTAGTTATCTTCTTCCTCATCAGATTCCTTCAAATTATTCCTTTCTATTACAGACACTAGTAATATCAGTCTAGACAAATTTAAACATGAGCACTGAAGCGCATTAAATGAAAATTCAATAAATAGGTCTAAGTACAACACTGAAGTACTTCCCATTTACAAATGGGAAGACGAGTCCAAACTCTCCCACAGCAGCATAAATAAACTGGACTAACCCATAAGCAACACTAAGATTAGTGAATGACTATTCATTTGAAATCCCCTACTAACTGGATGACTTAATTTCATGTTTTGCTTCTCAATTTATTTTTAAAAAAAAAAAAAAAGAGGTTTTCTAGCATCATAAATGTCCAATAAAGAGAAAGAGAAATTGGCCATTGTAGAGGCTAGGTCATGATTAACAATAAATTCTTAGTCTCTTAAAGTTTGCCAAGTTACTGGTGCCATTCAGACATGGTAACTTAAAGTTCAGCAGTCCCATCTGCTTGAGTAAGGTGTACAGCATGCAGACTCAGACTCTGTTAATCATGAGAACATAGCTGCTGGGTCTTGGTGGTGTCAAGATTTCTCCCCCTTGCACTGCTGAATGATGCCAAGATGTGTTGGTTCTGTGCTCACTGAAAAATACCCCATGGCTGATAGAATAAAAATGGCATTTTATCTTTTAAACCTTGAAAAACATGCACAACACAGCTCATACTTCATCTAGAAGCAAGCTAGTTGTATATACTTCTGCATGTTTAGTGTGAGCAGTTACACTTCAAGGGATTTTGCTAGAGACTAAAGTAGAAAACTTGACATTGTGCGTGATCAATTGCCCTCTGAACGCACTCATAGGCCATACTAATACCTCAAGGTTTCCAAGTGCTTGTTTTCAGATTAGAGTGAAATTTGAATCTCAGAATTTACTTGTTTATAATACTATGATGCCTACAACATGAAAAGATTCAATCCCGAAAGTGCTATTGATAGCAGCCGTCTGGTAGAACATTAAGTCAGTCCCTATCCCGCTTTGGATGTCATTCTGTCAAAATGTGTCATTTTGAAAAATATTTTTAATTTCAAACCATATTTTAGGAGAGCATTAAAACAACAGCATTTCATTAATTCCATTTTCAAAATTCTGCTGTTGATTTACAGGTAAGCTCTACCCTAACTGCAGAAGTGCAAGTGTATAGTTACACAGTTAGGAATTGTAATATATTAAAAGAATGGTTCACACTGTACACTTACAGTGAACTAGCAGTAAAGCGTACACATGTTGTGTGCTCAGACATTGCACAACATGGGTTTGGTAAACAATTCTAATTACAGAAACCTGAACTCAGAGTTCTAGTGGTGCTGGGGTGGAGGGGTGGGTTGTTTTTAGGTTATGGGGTTTGTTTTGTTGTTTTTTTTTTTCCTCCTCCAGAAATTGATAATGCCAACATCTTCGTAATGTAGGCAACTATTGCCTCTGGGCATAATTCAAGGTATAAACTGATGAAGTCACTCCCGGCTTCAGTGCTTTCCATCTGGATTTCTCGCTCCTCCTCCCTCATCACACTAAACCAAATGGGACCAGTTAGGTCATTCAAGCTAACACTCCTTTGATTCAAATGTTTAAACATTATTAATGGAGAACTAACTGTGGAATTTATTTTCACTATTAGTTAAACAAAGTTCATGCTCAAATGATCTTCAATGCATTGTATAAAGCTTTTGCCAGAGGGAAATTAAGATATACAAGTCATTTCTTGAGGCTGGCAATACTGCCTAGTTAACTAAATATAGTAATCGGTCTACCATATCTCGGTAACCTTCTAGGTACCCAAACTACAAGAGTTCTCTCCCAGCCATGTGAAAACTGGAACACCTACCTTGGGCCAACAGAAACAAAGACGCCAAGTGCATGGCAAGACCAAAAGATGCTCTTGCTCAGTCTGGAATACACTACGTGCACGTAGCAGTGGCTCCTTTTCCCTTTCTCCCTGCACAACAGCAAGATGTCCTTCAGCTGAGCCAAGAAGCGTACCATAGCCAACATACTCACTCATTAGAGCAATGCAACTCCGGATTCAGCTACAAATAGATGGATCGCATAAAAGGATCGAGGGGGGAAAAAAGATGACTTCTTATACATGAGAGGTACAAGAAGGCACCAGTGGCACTCTGAACAAGGAACTTCTTCACTGGGATGCTTTCTTCCCATTCTGCAGAATGGTAGCAGAGGAAGCCCCTCCAGAAGTCAGAATGCAGGCTATGGAGGAGGTCAGACAGCCAAGGCAGAGCTGGCTTTGCCAGAGTAAGAGGAAATAATATCATGCGGATTAAAAAAAAAATTTAAAAAATAAAAAAATTAAAAAGAAAGGTAATCAGTAAGACAAAATAGCATGACATAGTCAGGAACGTCTAACAGACTCAAGACTTTACTTGCTTAGTATTGCAATGCAGTATTTTATTCCAAAATTATGCAGAAGAGGCTTTCTGAAAGACAGCAAAGACACAAATACCTAATGCAAAAGACAAGTAAGAGCCCCTTTAAGAAAAAAAGAAAGATCCTTTTAGCAATTTTTAGGTAAGCTAAACTTGCAGAAGACCAAAAAGGATAGGCAGTATAGGTGGGACCAGAAGAGAGCTTTCAAGGTCCAAGTCCCTGCTAAACACAAACCCACTGAACCTTCTTCATAAAGTTTTGTGTTCTCTCCCTCTGCTTCCATGGTTTCCATGCTCTAAGAGTCATCTAACCCCACTCATCTAACATTTTTAAGAAGGAAAAAAAAAACAAAACAAACCAACCACACACACAAAAAAACCCTACTTGTTTCTTTAAGTGCTT